CAGACGCGTTTACGCACAGAATCTTTTACACAGAGAAGCGTTTACACAGAGAATTTTACACAGTGAAATCTTTACACAGACGCGCTTTCATACAGAGAAGCTTTCACACACAGAAGCTTTTACACAAAGAAGTCTTTACACAAAGTGGTTTTTACACACAGAAACTTTTACACGCAAAAGCTTTTACACAGAGAAGCCTTCAGCCAGAGGAGCTTTTACACACAAAAGCGTTTACACACAGCAAGCTTTTACACACACAGGTGCTTTTACACAAAGAAGTCCTTACACAAAGGAGCTTTTTACACACAGAAGGTTTTACACAGAGAAGTCTTTACCCTAAGGAGCTTTTGCACACAAACGTCTAGGAGCTTTTTCACACAAAACTTTTTACACGAAGAAGGCCTGACAGAGAGGGTTTTTACACACAGACGTGTTTGCACACAGAAGCTTTTTTTACACAGAGAAGCCTTTACACAGAGGAGCTTTTACACACAAAAGCATTTACACACACAGGGGCTTTTACACAGAGAAGTCTTTACACAAAGGAGCTTTTTACACACAAAAGTTGTTACACAAAGAAGTCTTTACACAGAGAGCTTTAACACACAGACGCGTTTACACACAGAGGCTTTTACACAGAGAAGCCTTTACACTTTACACAGAGAGTTTTTACACACCGAAGCTTTTACACACAGTGAAATCTTTACACAGACATTTCGCACAGAGAAGCTTTCACACATAGAAGCTTTTACACAAAGAAGTCTTTACACAAAGTGGTTTTTACACACAGAAACTTTTACACACAAAAGCTTTTACACAGAGAAGTCTTTGCACAGAGGCGTCTTGACATGAAGTCACACGTTGAAATTGGCAGCAGTTCTTCGGGAAAAACCCTTGGCAGGAGCTTTCGGGCACTCACTTGCTCCCCAAAAAAGCCGTCTATTTCCAACAAAGTTCCTGTTCCATGTTTTTTTTTCAAAAAACGTAAGGAATATATTATATTCCTGAAGCAGGTCCCCATCCAAAAGCTTTCCAGCCCCCACACTGCGATGAAATGGAGGGCCGAGAAATCCGGCGGAGCCGACGAGGGGCGTTGGCCCCCAAACCCGGCCCCGCCGGCTCCCCACGAGCGGCTTGCCCCACGAGCGCCCCAGAGCGACTAGAGCTCTAAGGTGAGGCGCGCCCCCAACCGCCGACCCTCCGACGCCGGGCCCCGAAAAACACCAAAAATCCTTCAGGAGGGTGGGGGAGAGCTTTTTGGCCGGAATCCGGGTCGCTCATCAGCGTCTTCAAGAGCATTCCCCCCCCCCGTTTGGAGGGTACCTAAAATCGGAAAAAAGCGCCGTTTTGAGACATTTTTCGGACGATTTTCAGCTTTTCGAAAGCAGAAAATGCTGTAAATACCAATACTTTTTGGACTCGAGATGCATAAAACACTGCAAATACCAGTGTTTTTGCAAGCAAAGCAAAAAAACACTGTAAATTACAGCATTTTTGGCAAGTTGATCGCAAAAAATGCTGGTATTTACACTGTTTTTGCAATTTCAAGAAAACGTGGAAGGCACGAAACACTGTAAATAGCGGTGTTTTAGCCACTTTTGGACGCTGAAACGCTGGTATTTACACAGTTTTTTGCCCGTGACGGCGCCAAACCCCTGTAAATTACAGCATTTTTTGCACTTTTTGAACCGATGTTTTGCCTTGATGAACGAAAAAAACGCTGGTATTTACGCGTTTCCCAAAAAATCGAAGATCGTGACGTGAACGAAACACTGTAAATAACAGTGTTTTAGCCACTTTGGGGGACTAAAACTGTGGTATTTACGCGGGTTCTTGCCAGCTGACAGCGCAATATGCTGTAAATTACAGCACTTTGTGCGCTGTTTATGTTCAATTTTTAAACGCGCGATGCTTTCACATGTTCTTTGCATTATTTTGCACTCTTCCACAAGAAACAACGTTGCAGATTGAAACTGGACGACAGCGTGACCCGAAAGAAAGCTGGAGGGAGGAGACGCACAGAAGCTTTTACCCACACACACAGGGGCTTTTACACAGAGAAGTCTTTACACAAAGGAGCTTTTTACATACAGAAGGTTTTACGCAGAGAAGTCTTTACTCTAAGGTGCTTTTGCAGACAAACGTCTAGGAGCTTTAACTCACAGAAGTTTTTACACGAAGAAGTCTTTACACAGAGGGCTTTTTACACACAGACGCGTTTGCACACAGAAGCTTTTACACAGAGAAGCCTTTACACAGAGGAGCGTTTACACACAAAAGCGTTTACACACAGCAAGCTTTTACACACACAGGGGCTTTTACACAGAGAAGCCTTTACACAGAGTAGCTTTTTACACACAGAAGGTTTTACACAGAGAAGTCTTTCCTCTGAGGAGCTTTTTCACACAAACGTCTTGGAGCTTTTACACACAAAAGCTGTTACACAAAGAAGTCTTTACACAGAGAGCTTTAACACACAGACGCGTTTACACACAGAAACTTTTACACAGAGAAGCCTTTACACAGAGAGTTTTTATACACGGAAGCTTTTACACACAGAGAAATCTTTACAAAGACGTGCTTTCACACAGAGAAGCTTTTACACAAAGAAGTCTTTACACAGAGAATCTTACTTTTACACACAAAAGCTTTTACACAGAGAAGTCTTTGCACAGAGGTGCCTTTACACGAAGTAACAAGTTGAAATCGGCAGCAGTTCTTTAGGAAAAACCCTTCGCAGGAGCTTTCGGGAACTCACTTGCTCCCCAAAAAATCGTCTATTCCAACAAATATGTTCCAAAAAACCTAAGGAATATATTTCTGAAGCAGGTCCTCATTCAGTAACTTTCACGCCCACACTGCGATGAAAAGGAGGGCCGAGTGGTCCGGCGGAGCCGACGAGGGGCGTCAGCCCAAAAATATTAAGGGGCTACGCCCCCTGCCGCCGACCCCTGGGAGAGAGCGATATCTGAGGCACCCTGAGGCATCCTGAGGCTGTGTTTGGCCATTTTGCAGAGGCTCGGAACGCATTCCTTCAAAGTGAGGAATCTTCTTTTGCCAATAGTGGCACCCACGGCACACAATCATTTAAAAGCAGCATGTAGTGACGACTGAATGGTTCCTTTCTACGTTCTATAGATATTTATGGAACAGTAGGATTCAGGGACGGATGCAGCAGAGCCGCGGCCCCAGCCGCCAGGCTTCACAAACGGCGCCTTGGCCACACCAAAACGGCAGGGCCCTGAGGGACGGACCGGGCCTGCCTCCAAAACAGCAGGGCCCTGAGGGACGGACGGGGTCTGCGGGCCACGGGCCCCACTGCCTAACGTTGCTTTCTGAACCTACAAGGAAATAGCTGTCTGAGCTGTCTTCCAGTCGCCAAAAGCTTCACAAACGGCGCCTTCGCCACACCAAAACAGTAGGGCCCTGAGGGACGGACTGGGCCTGCGGGCCACGGGCCCCGCTGCCTAACGTTGCTTTCTGAACCTACAAGAAAACTAGCTGTCTGAGCTGTCTTCCAGTCGCCAAAAGCTTCACAAACGGAACGGCGGCCTTCGCCACAGGGACCAAAAACATCATTTCCCTGAGGGCGGACTTTTCCTGCTGGCCACTGTCGGACTGGGCTGCGGCCACGGGCCCCGACTGCCTAACGTTGCTTTTTCTTGAACCTACAAGAAACTAGCTGTCTGAGGCTGTCTTCAGTGCGCCAAAAGCTTCACAAACTCGCCTCGCCACACAAAAAGCAGGGCCTGAGGGACGGACTTGTTCCTGCGGGCCACGGGCCCCACTGCCTAATGTGCGTTCTGAACTCTACAAAAACTAGCTGTCTGAACTGTCTTTCCAAGTCGCCAAAAGCTTCAACACGGCGTCCCCTGGGCGCCACAGCAAAACGGCAGGGCCCTGGGGACGGACTTGGCCTGCGGGCCACGGCCCCACTGCCATAACGTTTGCTTTCTTGAACCTACAAGAAAACTAGCTGTCTGAGCTGTCTTCCAGTCGCCAAAAGCCTCACAAACGGCGCCTTCGTCACACCAAAACTGCACGGCCCTGAGGGACGGACTGGGTCTGCGGGCCACGGGCCCCACTGCCTAACGTTGCTTTCTGAACCTACAAGAAAACTAGCTGTCTGAGCTGTCTTCCAGTCGCCAAAAGCTTCACAAACGGCGCCTTCGCCACGCCAAAACTGCAGGGCCCTGAGGGACGGACTGGGCCTGCGGGCCACGGGCCCCACCTTCGCCACACCAAAACTGCAGGGCCCTGAAGGACGGACTGGGCCTGCGGGCCACGGGCCCCACTGCCTAACGTTGTCGCCAAAAGCTTCAGAAACGGCGCCTTCGCCACACCAAAGCAGCAGGGCCCTGAGGGACGGACTGGGCCTGTGGGCCACGGGCCCCACTGCCTAACGTTGCTTTCTGAACCTACAAGAAAACTAGCTGTCTGAGCTGTCTTCCAGTCGCCAAAAGCTTCAGAAACGGCGCCTTCGCCACACCAAAACAGCAGGGCCCTGAGGGACGGACCGGGCCTGCGGGCCACGGGCCCCACTGCCTAACGTTGCTTTCTGCACCTACAAGAAAACTAGCTGTCTGAGCTGTCTTCCAGTCGCCAAAAGCCTCACAAACGGCGCCTTCGCCACACCAAAACAGCAGGGCCTGAAGGACGACTGGTCCTGCGGGCCACGGCCCAAGGTGCTAACGGGTTGCTTTCGACCTACAAGACAAACGCTGTCTGAAGCTGTCTTCCAGTCACCAAGCTCACAACGGGCCCTTCGCCACAACCACAACAGCAGGGCCCTGAGGTGGTACGGACTGGGCCTGCGGCCACTTTCCCCACTTCTACGTTGCTTTCTGCTGACCTAACAAGAAAACTAGCTGTCTGAGAAGCTGTCGTCCAGTCGCCAAAAGCTTCAGAAAACGGCGCCCTTCGCCACACACAACATCATGGCCGTGATGGACTGGACTGGGCCTTGCGGGTCCACTGGCCCGACTTTGCCTAACTTTGCTTTCTGAACCTATCAGAACTAGCTGTCGTGAGCTGTCTTCGCAGTCCGCCACAAGCTTCAGAAACGGCGCCTCGCCAACACCAAAACAGCTGGCCCTTAGGGACGGACTGGGCCTGCGGACCACGGGCCCCACTGCCTAACGTTGCTTTCTGAACCTACAAGAAAACTAGCTGTCTGAGCTGTCTTCCAGTCCCCAAAAGCTTCAGAAACGGCGCCTTCGCCACACCAAAACTGCAGGGCCCTGAGGGACGGACTGGGCCTGCGGGCCACGGGCCCCACTGCCTAACCTTGCTTTCTGAACCTACAAGAAAACTAGCTGTCTGAGCTGTCTTCCAGTCGCCAAAAGCCTCACAAACGGCGCCTTCGCCACACCAAAACTGCAGGGCCCTGAGGGACGGACTGGGCCTGCGGGCCACGGGCCCCACTGCCTAACGTTGCTTTCTGCACCTACAAGAAAACTAGCTGTCTGAGCTGTCTTCCAGTCGCCAAAAGCCTCACAAACGGCGCCTTCGCCACACCAAAACAGCAGGGCCCTGAAGGACGGACTGGGCCTGCGGGCCACGGGCCCCACTGCCTAACGTTGCTTTCTGAACCTACAAGAAAACTAGCTGTCTGAGCTGTCTTCCAGTCGCCAAAAGCCTCACAAACGGCGCCTTCGCCACACCAAAACAGCAGGGCCCTGAGGGACGGACTGGGCCTGCGGGCCACGGGCCCCACTGCCTAACGTTGCTTTCTGAACCTACAAGAAAACTAGCTGTCTGAGCTGTCTTCCAGTCGCCAAAAGCTTCAGAAACGGCGCCTTCGCCACACCAAAACAGCAGGGCCCTGAGGGACGGACTGGGCCTGCGGGCCACGGGCCCCACTGCCTAACGTTGCTTTCTGAACCTACAAGAAAATTAGCTGTCTGAGCTGTCTTCCAGTCCCCAAAAGCTTCAGAAACGGCGCCTTCGCCACACCAAAACTGCAGGGCCCTGAGGGACGGACTGGGCCTGCGGGCCACGGGCCCCACTGCCTAACGTTGCTTTCTGAACCTACAAGAAAACTAGCTGTCTGAGCCGTCTTCCAGTCGCCAAAAGCCTCACAAACGGCGCCTTCGCCACACCAAAACTGCAGGGCCCTGAGGGACGGACTGGGCCTGCGGGCCACGGGCCCCACTGCCTAACGTTGCTTTCTGAACCTACAAGAAAACTAGCTGTCTGAACTGTCTTCCAGTCGCCAAAAGCTTCACAAACGGCGCCTTCGCCACACCAAAACAGCAGGGCCCTGAGGGACGGACTGGGCCTGCGGGCCACGGGCCCCACTGCCTAACCTTGCTTTCTGAACCTACAATGTTGCTTGTAATCTCTTCTCTGACGCGCTCCCCCTGCTGTCGGCAGGGGTCGGCGGATTATATGAAGAACCATGCATGTATCAGCACTGGCATGTGAACCATGAATCAGGTGTGACGTTCCGCCGTTTGGATCAATAGGCCTAAGCCATTTCAGCTACGCTTCATGGCAAAAGACTGAGCCCTGCGTTGCTTCTGCAGTGGTAGGTCGGAGCCTTACGTGCGGTTCTGCGGCCCTTTGGTGTTTGCGCTTGAGCCCTTCGCAATCAGTGCATGTGATTTCTGGCCTTTTTGCTGGTGACATTTGATCGCTTCAAATTTTACTGGTTGAATTGCTGGATTTGGAATTTAACAGCTGGCTCTCCGAATTTTTCGATAACTGCGTTGTTGGACTTTTTGGTGAATCAGCTGTGGCCTCTTTTATTTGTTTTCACCTACAACGGGGACATCAAGAACTTGATTTGTTTTCCGTTTTGCTGATTTCACCATAGCGATGACAGATGACGACAAAGGGACATCTGCCTGGTACAAGGTTCCGGTATGGGACGGAAATCCTTCTGGTTTCCGCAGCTTCAAGCGTGAAATGGAGTGGTGGAAAGCGAGTTTGGACCCCATCAGCTGCTCCAAGTTCAACGTAGCTGCCCGTTGGACTTTGAGACAGACAGGACTGGTGAGAGCGCGGGCTGAGGAGTTTTCTCCCTCTGAGCTTGAAGGCAAAAAGCCAGTGGAAGTTGAGGATCCAGAAGGTGGTGAAAAGGTTGTGATTGAAGAAGGCGATCCTTTTGCTGGTTTGGATAAACTTATGCAAGCTCTTGAGGATTCGCTGGGAAAGACGGCATTAGACAAGAAAGGAGATCTTCGAAAGCAGTTTTATCAAGATCTTCGAAGGACTGCCGGTGAACGGATCAGCTCATTTTGTTCGAGATTTCGGACATTGGTTGGGGATATGCGTCGTGAAGGTGTAGTTCTTCCAGATGAGGAACTTGGTTGGTTTCTTCGAAGCCGTATGGGCCTGGATGCGATTCGACTTCAACTTTTAGACACTGCGCTGGCTGGAAGAGAGAGGTACGAAGATGTGGAATCAGAAGCTCTTCGTCTTTTCAGAGACCTTCATAGTGAAGATCCATTGCATAAGCAGCGACAAGAGCGCAACCCCCTTCTCCAGCGTTTTCTGAACTCGAATTCAACACCATCAACGACGACCAGGTCTTCCTTTCCTTCAAGCTCAGCTTCTTCCGTGGCAGGTCGATCTTTCAGATCAGGATCATCTATGCAGTCACAGCGCTTTGCACCTCGACCGAAGCCAAGCATGCATCCTGGAGGTCGTGCTGCATTGGTTGCCGAGGTCCCCATTGATGAGGAGCACTATGAACCTGAAGATGAAGAGTTGATACCGGATGATTCCGGTGCACACCAGAATCCATCTTCTCTTGAGGAAGTGCTTCAGAGTGAGGCCGAAGTGCTGGCTGCGGAGATTGAAGCCATGGAGGATGAAGGGATCGACCAATCCCTGATAGATGGACTTGAACAAGGAATTGATCAAGCTGCTGAATCCCTAGTTACTATGAGGGAAGCTCGCAACAAGATTGCAGAGATTAAAAAAGACCGTGGATACGGAAAGATTCCAAATGCCAAACCCCAGATGCATGGGAACCAAGTGGCTGCCAAGAAATCCAAAACGTTTTGCTGGGATTGCGGCCAAACAGGCCATTGGAGTGGAGACGCTGGATGTCCAAATCCTGGTCAGGGTTTGTACAAACCAAAAGCGGCTGCCAAGAAGCCGGCCAAACAGGTTCGAGTGACAGAGGCTTTGAACACTGAGCACATCCTTGAGGACCAGATGCCAGCGACATCACCTCCCGACCAGCACGAAGTGATGGTGACGCAGCATTTGTTGCGACCGAGTTCCCTTCAGGAAGCCTTGGACAAAGAGCACGAGGCCAATCAAGTTTCACAGAGAGCGTTGGCAGTGGACAAACAGCTGGTTGGCGCTCTTGACAGCGCGTGCAATCGAACGTGCAGTGGCAACATTTGGATTTCGCAGTATTTATCCACTTTGTCCACGGCACCTGAGGCAATTCGCAATTTGGTTCGAAAAGAGCCAGAAGAGGAGATTTTTCGTTTTGGAGATGGAGGAGTTCAGACCAGCAAGTTTAGATATCGACTTCCTATGGTGGTTGGAACTGATTTGGTTTTGACATGGATTTCGGTGGTACCTGTACCAAGTCTGGGTTTGCTGCTAGGTCGTGATTGGCTAGATGGTATCGGATGTGTTTTGAGCTTTGCCAAGAAGGTCATGCGTGCTGATCACCTTAGTGGTCGACTCATCAACCTCCATCAGATCTTGGCAGGACATTTTGCGCTGCCCTTGGTCCCTCGTCAATGGCCAGCTCCAGGTGCGCTCAAGTGGCGTCGGGTTGGGCTTGATGGCGTTTTGGAGTTGCAGATTTCACATCATGTTTGGCTTCATCGCAAACTTCATGCTGAATCGTTTGTTGCACCAACCCCCAATCATGAGCATGAGCACCTTGTCACTGAGCAGAGCGTCATGTTGGCAGATATTCGTTTTTCTGGTTTGGATGCAAGCAGCAGATGTCATTCCATTTCACATGATGCCCTGGTTCAAGAGATGAACGGCTCCAAGTTTTCCGAAATTCGTGATCCACCCTCAACTTCGGCACTTCATGAACCAGCCAGAGGTGGAAATCAAATGCGTAGGCAAATGGCGCCGCCTTTTGCTGCGCGCTCAAGAAAGAGCCCTATGGCACGCCCCATGGAATTTGGCTCTGGCTGCTGCGGCGGCCTTTCTTGCGTTGTCTGCCGCTGCCCTATCCAGCAGTGGGCACTTTGAAAGACTGGGGCAGCCAGATGTCTCAGATGTTGGAGGCTGGAGCAATCACCAAGCGATGCGTGCAAAAAGTCAAGAGCGACAAGTTGATGACCTCCGAAGCCCTTCGAGATTGTTGTTGGCTTCGGGATCGCCTGGGACTGCGAGTGGCCTTCATGGAAGATCCAATCCTCCCTGGACTCATGGCAGCCCGTGGAGCAAAAGGTCTGGCGACCAAGATCAAAGAAGCCGCTTCCCGCGAGGAGAAAGAGAAGGCCAAGCAATTGCGAGAGAAGGGTCAACACTTGCAAGCAGTTCGAGAACTGATTGGTCCTCGAGGTGGCCTTCCTCATTTGCGGGGAGATTTGATCAAGTTAGCAGCTCTTCTTCAAATCAACATGCCAGACAAAAGCACCATCGACGAGCTCAAGACCAAGATCAAGCCCGTCGTTCAGACCCTGATGGAATCCTCAGCCAAGCCCGAGTCCGGAAGCAGTTCAAGCCACCAAATTCCAAAGCCAGTTCCAAAAGCCAAGTCGCCTCCGAAGCCCTTGCCAGTTCAGGAGGCAGATCTGCAGAGAGTTCGGCAAGAAGTGCAAAAGGACATGCAAAAGATGTTGCAGGACCAGAGCAATCGTTTTCAAGAGATGATGTATCGGCAGATGCCGGATGGTCGAACCCTGCACGATTTGGCCTTCGGAGACGATCAAGTTCCGAATCAATGGGACGACTTCGAGTCACTGGAAGGCCCATATTGGGAGAACGAGTTGGAACTGCTAGCACCTCATGGATGGACAGCAGAGGAGATAGACGTGGCTATGGCAGAGGAGGGGACTACTTGAGTTTGCGTGATGTTCGAGCTCAACCTTCTCAAGTTCCAGAAGACAATCCCTGGCGTCTTCACCAAGACCTGAAGAGAGGTCAAACACAAATGATCAGTCAAGCTTGGGAGCAGCATTGTCGAGACCGGCAACATGTTTCCAAAAGCCCCAAGGAAGTTCTTCATGTGATGCACCAGGAATGGAATAGTTCTATGCAGTCTTTTCTGAATGAACCTTTCGTGATGAAAATTGACATCACTCCTGAAATGCCAGAGACCCTTGCGTATAAGGAGGTCCTTGACACCGAGACCGCCACTGCCTATAAAGCCACTCAGCCTTTGGTTGGTGAGATCTACACGGCAACTGAGCAAATTTCCAAACAAGCTCAACTGCGTGGTCATCGGACAAGTGCCTCCATGTCTCTGGAGAATGGCTGGGACTTCCGAAAGGCAGAACATCGGAAGGCATGTATCAAGAAGGTGTTGGAGGAGGACCCCTTTTGTTTGATTCTTGCTTTTCCATGTGGTCCGTGGTCACCATTGACTCGTTTGAGGGCAAGCTCCACTTTGGAAGAACGCCGAAAGGAAGGTGAAGTGCTTTTGGACTTTGCACTGATCCTTGCCAAGATTCAAAGTCGGCGTGGAGGGCATTTTGTGATAGAAAACCCCAAAGGGAGCATGGCTTGGAATCTTCCTCAGATGATGCGCTTTCTTGAAGAAACCGGATGCGCTGTGGTGGACTTTGATCAGTGCCGGTTTCGATTGAAGAGCCTTCGAGGAGTCCTTCATAAGAAGCCAACACGCATTGCCACGAGCAGTGCTGCAGTCGCCGATGGACTTCGAGACTGCCTATGCCCTGGTGACCATCCCCACTATCCAGTGATGGGCGGATCAAAGATTACCAGCCGAGCTGGACACTATCCTATTCCTCTTGCAAAGAACATTGTCAAAAGCCTTGAAAAGCAATTTCATCTTCAACATGCCCATGGACGTGAAGTACATGCCGTGGATGGTGAGGAAGCGGCAGGGGATGACACTGCTATGGATGCTTTTGGCAGTGACTCTGACATTTCGTCCATTGCGGAGGAGGATGAGGATGGAGAAGAAAAGTCGCAGCGCGTGCCAGCAGCAATTCGCGCAGCGGTGAAGAGGTTGCATGAAAGCACCGGCCACAGATCAAATCGCCGTTTGGCAAGAGCACTTGTCATTTCTGGCGCACCGAAGGAAGTTGTCGCAGCAGCGAAATATCTTCGCTGCAGCCTCTGTGAAGAGAAGAAGAGACCGAAGAGTCGTCGACCAGCGACGCTTCCAACACCAAAAGATGTTTCAGACCAAGTTCACATTGATGTGGTTGAGATGTTTGACATCAACAACAAGCGTTTCTATGTCGTTCACTGCATTGACTGGACTTCAAGATTTCAAATGGCTGAAGCCCTTGAGCACAAGAGTTCAGAAGCCATTACCAAGTGGTTTCGTGAGCGATGGCTTCCAATCTTTGGCGCTCCTAGAGTTTTGGTAGCAGACCAAGGGCGAGAATTTGTGAGCTGGGAATTTCAAGAACTATGTGACCAGATTGGAACCTTACTACACCACATACCAGTCCAAGCCCCATGGGCCAATGGAATTTGTGAGCGTGGAGGAGGTATTTTGAAAGCCTTGGTGGAGTGCGGTGTCAAAGCGCACTCAATACAAGGACTGGAAGAAATCAACCAGATGGTCCAGGAAAGCATCCTAGCTTACAATGCAGACGTGAACGAGATGGGAGTGAGTCCACACCAAGCAGCCATTGGTCGACAACCACGAATGGTGGGCGACGTCCTAGGCTCAACGGGTCAGAGGCTGGCAGAGCATGGGCTGATTGACAGCCGTCCCAGTTTAGCCCGGCAGATCGCTCTTCGCGAAACTGCTCGAGTCGCTATGACTCGCCTTCATTTCTCTCGTGGACTTCGCAAGGCGGAGTTGAGCAGATCCAGATCTTCCACCATGTCTCAACCTTTGGAGCCAGGTGCAATTGTTTATTTTTGGCGTGAGTCAAAATACAATGCGAGGACAGCTCCTTCAAGAAGAAGATTGATCTTGCGGAGGTGGCATGGTCCTGCTTTGCTTGTTGCCTTGGAGGGTCACACGGCAGGATATGTGAGCTTCAAGGGCCAGCTTACCAAATGTGCCAGAGAACATTTGAGACTGGCCTCTTCAATGGAGCAGATCAGTGCCGAAGTTTGGCATGACTCGATTCGAGAAACGATCGAGGCTGCCGTCCATGACATGCAACTTCGTGATCAACCTCCACAACAACAAGAATCAGCACCACCTACTGCTCCACCCACTCCAAGATCTCGAGCTCGTCAACAATCCTCTCATTTTCATGCATCACAATCACAACAACCTCAACCACAAGTTCAACAAGCAGTTCAATCACCACCTCAACCTGAAACAGCAGAGGTACCTGAACAAGAGCTTCAAGATTTGCCTCCAGTCAGAGCTGAAGAAATGGTCGCTGCTCTGGCGCCGGCATCTCATGAGTTGACATCAACCCCTTTGAGTTCTTATCAACAAAGTCTTGCAGCGAGTAGAAGAATGTCTCGCGTGGAACCCTATCCAACTTCATTGCCTTCTCAGCCGACAGTAGATACTTTTGGCGAAGCCCTCACGGAAGTCATGAGAAGGGCTCGAGAAGCTGATGATGAAACCAAGAAGCGTGCTGCCTCTCTCGAACCAGATGCTCTTCGAGAAGCCAGCCGAGAACAAGAACCATTGGTACCACCACAGAGCGTTGAGCCCCCAGCTGGAAGTGGCTCCCATGATGTGCTGGTGACCAATACAACAACTTCAACAGCCGACATTGACATCTTGAGCGGGAAGGAACACCCACTCAAGCTCCTTTATGATCAAGTTCAGCAAGATGCCAAGAATCCTCTATACGAAGATGTAGTAGATCACGGCACTTGGTCAGGCAGATGGCCGTTGCCCTCCAGATCAACCTGGATGGCTCATGAGAAATGCAAAGCGCTGTGGCCCTGCAGTTCACATGAAGTCTTTGCTGCGAAGACGGCAAGGCGTGAAATCAAATGGAAGCAGATACCCGAAGAGCAGAAGGAAGCTTTTCGACAAGCTGCTGCAGTTGGATGGCAAGTTCAATTGGACAATGATGCCTTCCAAGTCATCCCTGAACCTGAGGCTACGCGCATTAAATCCAGACTCAAGGCATCGGGTCAGCTCCACAAGATCTTGGTGCCGCGGTTTGTTTTCACTGACAAAAATGATGGTGTTCGCAGTGAGTCGAACCCCATGCCACTTCGTGCCAATGCCAGGCTTGTCATTCCTGGCTATCAAGATGAAACAGCTTATGGTCTTCGAAAAGACGCACCCACTGCTACGAGAACTTCACAGCATTTGCTTTTTCTGGTTGCGGCCTCTGATGGTTGGCATCTTTGGGCAGCTGACATCAAATCAGCTTTCCTGAAAGGCGAAGTCTTCGAAGAGGGCGAAAGGGAGCTTTACATTTGCAACATCCGTATCCTCTCTGCGGATGAACCTCTTCTTCCCCTTGGCAGTGGAAACCTTGCGAGATTGCGCAAGGGCGTTTTTGGTTTGGCAGATTCTCCAAGAAGATGGTATCTTCGTCTCCATCGTTCATTGACTCAACTTGGATGGGAGCGTTCTGTGATGGATGCTGCCATGTGGACTTTGCGAGATGGTCAAGGTAATCTGCAAGGAATTGTTCTTTCTCATGTAGATGATCTACTCCTGGGAGGAACTCAAGTCGCCTATGAGAGCATCCGCAAGCTGGGCGAGGAGTTGGGTTTTGGTTCTTTTGAGAAAGACAGTTTTACCTACTGTGGTAAGAAGATAGAACGAAATGATGACCATAGTATAACTGTTTCCATGAAAGCATACCATGAAAACCTGCACCCTGTTTCCGTGGTCACTCATCGGAAGCAGCAGCTGGATGAACCACTGACGCCTGCGGAGCATCGCCAACTTCGCGGCCTCATTGGAAGCATGCAATGGCTCGTGACCCAAGTGAGGATTGACATGGCCTTTCAGCTTTCAACGCTTCAAGGAGACAGACCCACTGTGAAGACGTTGCTGAAAGCCAACGCCCTGGTCAGATTGTTCAAATTGAACCCCGGGTTCAAGCTCACTTTTCAACCTATGGATTTGCGAGGCGCTGGCATCACTGTCGTCACCGACGCTTCGTTGGGCAATGTCACACGAACTGGAAGCGATGAAGGAACTCTGATGACAAAGACCTTTTCCCAGGCCGCATATATGGTCCTGATCGGAGATCGGAATTTGATGGCTGGTCGAGAAGGGCAGTGTGCCTTCATCGATGGGCGTTCGCATCGCCTCAGTCGAGTTTGCCGCTCGACGTGCTCCGCAGAGTTGCAAGGAGCTGAAGAAGCACTGGACAATGGCGTTTTCAGTCGTGGGCTCTTAGCAGATCTTTTCGGTTGGGACGTTTTGGACAAGACCCAGAACTATAACATGGCGATCCCATTGAACCTGGTCACAGATGCCAAAGATGTTTATGACAAAGGGATGACAGACACAGCAACATACGGCTCACAGAAATCACTGGCCTTCACCATAGCATGGATGAGAGAAGTTTTCAGAAAGCCGCGGACGTCACTGAGCTGGACATCCACTGAAAACATGCCGGTGGACTGTGGGACGAAAGCCATGGACACCTCCCACCTGGTGAAGATTTTGAACACTGGACGGTGGAGTGTGACATACAATGCATCCTTCGTGAAACAGAATGTCACCAAAGAGGACCTGTGCTTCCCGGTCGTCTTTTGACCGATGACACTCTGAGAGGGCATTTAATTAAACTCTCTGAGTTGCCTGGATGGCACTTTCGAGAGGACTATGTGATCCATGTTTGTAGGAACGCAAAATCTTTGAGGACACCAGAACCTCGCTTCAAGCCTGCACAGTATCCCATTCGGTCAAGCTTTGGAAGATTCGACTCGCTGGTCCAATCTGAATGGAGAGTGCTTGAAGAAGATGAAATGTACAGTGGCAAGTCTCTGATTGGGGACGTTGCCGATGTTTTGATCACATTCTTTCGTGGTCCACATTCCCAGCTGCTGATCCACAAAGAGAAGGATCGACTGAAGAAACATGCATGTATCAGCACTGGCATGTGAACCATGAATCAGGTGTGACGTTCCGCCGTTTGGATCAATAGGCCTAAGCCATTTCAGCTACGCTTCATGGCAAAAGACTGAGCCCTGCGTTGCTTCTGCATTATATATATGATATATGTATACATTAGTATATAAGGATTATACATAAATCCTGGGTATAACGGGAATATCTTTGAACATTTTCTGTTCTGCACATTTCCGACTTGATTTTGTGGGATTTGGTTTCTTTCGAGTTTCAGCTGGGAAAGGCAGTTTCAATTGGTGCTAGCATAGAAGAGTGGGGACATTGGCAAAGATCACTACACGTGATGAAATTCGCAACAGTTTGAACTGCAATTTCGAGTTGGATATCACTGAAAGTTTTAGTTCTAATAGATCTCTGAGCTAATGGGATGCAGTTGTGCGGTAAGGTTGTTGAGCACTGGCCGAAGCCACCGACGACGACCGATGTCGATGACAATGACAATGACGATGAGGATGATGATGATGATGATGATGATGATGATAATGATGATGATGATGATGATGATGATGATGATGTTGATGCTGATGTTGATGTTGATGTTGACGACGATGGCGATGAGGATGAAGACGATATGATTGATTGAGCGGCTATCTATACTCTACTCTACTCTCTACTTCAATTTGGTGTGAAAGAATTTGATCACCCCACAGCTGCCAGGAAGCGTGTTCAGCTCTCCTGCCAGGCTGGGATGTTTTCGCTCTGGGGCTTGACCCAGGTACTGTATATGAAGTGTTTTAATGGATCTCTGTTGTTTTGTGGCTTATCACAATGCATTATACAAACCTTTAGATTTTTTGGTTTATATAATGAGGATTATTCTAATCCGATATTGAAACCATTGTAAATCTTCCACGTGGCAGGGTGACCGGGTGTGACAAAAGCTGAGCTGGGCACTGCTCATGTCTTCAGCGCATCGAGTTCTTTTCGCACGGGCACACATTCTGAGAGAATTTCACAAGCAAGACTTGCCACTGTATGGTGCGAATACAAGATGATGTTACTTGGTGGCTCATCCCACTTGCGAGCCGTGGGATGAGCCATGATGTTAAGGTACATAGCCTCATGTCACGATCTTAAGCCCAAGAAGGCAGGCATTTTGAGTCGTAGTGATCCTGACTGCCAAGAAATGACCCATGAATTTGACCAGACACTCCGTCTCCGTCTGGTGATGGATGTGATGGTCGATTTTTTCAGGGGGAAACCCATCCTGAAAAATGACAGCCACCGGGGATCTAGTGAGGAGGTAGAGTAAGTGGCACATTGTTGGATGTAACTAACACCGACAGAATCGAGATAGAACTTGATAGAAGATATAGAAGCCTGATAAAATGATAAATCCAGACCTACTGTGATTTGGTTTGCTTGATTCTGGATTCTTTTCTTGATTCTTTTTAAAAGTTCCATCCTACTTCGCCTACATCTACAGCAACCTCAAAAGGACTCCAAAAATGAGAGCCCGGAAATCAGGTAAAGATCCTCCATGAGCTTTGAACGTTCCATTTTCTGGTTACAATCACCTCATCATTTCCCACAAATGCCACAATTTTCAGAGCGTAAATCCACCATTTCGGGCTTCGCATTTCTGGGTTCAGCCAGTCTCAGGTGCCAGTGGAGATGGTGGCTGGGAGGACTGCGAGCTGACCGAGTCCGGTCACTTCGTGAGGCGATGTTTTTGGGTTGGCCGGGGATCCCCCATGAAGATCTCCCAATATCAAGCCATGGATTTCATAAATGGATGAAATTGGGAGATGATCCCCCATTGGCTGGCAGATGATCCCAATATTTTATGAAGATCCCCCATTTTTGAACACCTCCCTATTGATATTGGGGTAACCCAGCCAGGTCGACGCTGCTGAAGGAGCCAATGCTTGATCCGCTACCGGAGCCTTGCCCAAGGCTGGTCGGTGTCTCTGCAAATGGGGTAACAACGGTAGACCCTCCAATACATGGCCGTTCAATTAGGGAACAGCATGATTAACCATGATAAAGCAAATGGATTTTGGGATACCCTATTTTCAGGCAAACGCACGTATAGTGATAGAATCCAGAAATTATGCTTGGTTGATGACGATAGGTTATGCTGCTCAGTATATTGGGGATTGCAGCGAGAATCCATTTTTGGGACCCCATGAAGCAACCATTAGAAGGAATTTCCTAATGGCAATTGACACTGCTCACATGGACCCCGCAGGAGTCCGTCATCAAATTGAACAAGATGTGCCTTTCAAAGCTCCGGATTTCTTGGGGTTTGTTGCTTTCCATGATGCCATGATGCCAGGTTGACAACACCTCCACCGGGGATGTGCTCTGAGTCCACGGACGGCCTTTTTGTTTGGCCGGCTGAGCTTTCATGGGGAAATTGATGATAAACCGATGGGTTTTTGGCAAGCCTATTTTCCAACAAATCCATGATGAAAACTCACGTTGCCATTGAGATTTGGCACATTGGGTTCTCCAGAAATATTCGTTCTTTAGCAAACCGAAGCATGATGCCTACATCTCGTGTCAAGAAGCAGTGCCACAAAATTCTGCTCATGTGATCGCTGACCTACACATGATGTTTACTTTGTGTTCCAAGGATATATGGGCATGTCTGAAAATGAAATACACCCATAACATGGCATTTTATAGGGAACATTGTGATTAACCCTTGGATTTAGAGGTGCTATATTTTCAGACTATTCATATTAAATACTCTCCTGGCAATGTTGTTTCCCATGTGTGATGTCATTTGGGTTCAGCCGCAGGAGGATTGTTCAAAGACAAAATGTTGCAACGAACTGGGCACCACGTTCCAGACCGAGCAATGCAGAGAGCGACAATTCCTTTTGATTCAGGAACACAAACAGACACGGCTGATGTTTTGATGCTTTGATGGAAAAACAGGTATTGATTGACCTCATTAACATCATGTTACACCTATATTGCGGACCAACTCTTGAGAAGCTTCAGGTGCTTCCAAAAGAATGATTGGTGGGCATCGTGCAAAGTGAGCTGCACGCCAGGTGCCGTGTCTTTTGGTGCCAGCAGTTGATTTTTTCTGTGCATCAGTCATGTTACACTACACATGTTTGGAATACTGTTTATATATATATATAACGTTTATTTCCCGGAATTGGTTGAAAGGAACATTTACAGGAAAACTCAAACCATTTTTTCATCCGAAAACTGGTTAAACTGTGGTTTCCTGCAACTTTTTCCCTTCAACCCATCCATTGATGGCACCATTTATGGCTGGCATCACCACCCGGCACAGTCAACTCACTGCGAGGCATTGATCCCAATGATCCACCGGCCTATGCTTCGCCATGGACTTGTAAGGTAGGGGAACCCTGGAAGGCGCAGAAGGAGTGATCCCCCCGTGAAAACTGGAAAAAATATAGTCATTGAATAGGGATAATGATAATGAACCAGTGGATTTAGGAGTACCCAATTTTAAGACACACCCACAGATCAGAAACTCAACAAGTCAACATGATGTTTGTATGTCTCAATATGTTGCAAAATCTGCGATGGGATAAAGTAGAGGGAAAGCTAAGACGGTGAGAACTGAGAACCATCCTCCGTTCACCCAGCTTCGGGCATGCTTGTCTCGGTCAAATCCACTGGTTCAAATATGTTCATGTTTGACTACATGGTCGCCATACACTTTGATTTTGGCCTTTTTGGGCTACAGATAATTCACCACATCTGATTCCAATGATAAGTATAGTAGAATCGCAGTTTTCTGGCTGAGTGGTGATTTCAAAGTATTAATTGAAAAATTAAGATGCTACCAGCTTATTCCAAACATAAACTGATAGATGCGCCTGCAGAATCTCATGGCAGTACTCTGAGGTGCTAACCAGGGATGAAGTGGAAGATGACAGCCAGGAGGTTCACAACGGGGCGCTGCAAGCGACGGCTAAGAAGTGTAGGAGTCTTATTTTTACCCTTGAGATCAATGAAAAGGGGCCTCAAAATAGAATATTTCAGACCTGAGTGAGTCATTAGAGATTCTCTCTACCAGCTCTTGGACCTTGGTGCAACGGGGGCTTTGTGCACACAGGACATTCACGTTGCTCAGTAGATACTAAACGACTGTCTAAAATACTAGTGATTCAGCAGATGGGGTTCTCATGGAGAAGACCTGGTTGATCATCATTTGTCTCAAACATGGCATTACTGGGGGTATACCGTAGATCCCATTTTCAGACACACCCATGTTTTGACTCTTTGTGTTGCCAAGCCTCTCTTTTTAGTGGAGGCCTATCCTTCAAAACTCACTGCCTGAGTTGCGCCAAAGAGCATCGATGGTGGCAGAAACGAAGACATCGGATTTAAAGACGTGACATACGCAGTCTAAGTTCCGAGCTGGTCCGTTTAGACACTCCACTGGTTGCTTTGGGAACAAGTGGCAAACTTTCTCCCAGGGGGGCTTCACAATCAGAAGGAAGATCAAGGGGCCACAGAAGCACAGAAAGGAATTCGGGAAAACCTGGATTTATGCCAGGCAACTCTAAACACATACAGATGCAAGGACATCTTTTGTTGTGTGTGTCATACCAGTTGGGTGAGAACTTGCGGCCCTTAAAAAGACCTTTCCAGTGCCTTTATTGTTCCAAGAAAAATTGACACACACCGTT